TTCCTGCTGTTCCTCAAAACTTTTTTAATATTTCCCAGCAACATCGTACTACACCGTCGGGGCAGACTACTCCTAACAACACATCTGCAGAACAACCCCAGCCGTCTGAGCTTTTTGAAACTGATACTCATAAAACCGAAGAAATACATGGAGTGGAGCAAATTCCTGGTCAGCTTACTCACTCGGATCCTCAGGATAGTGCCAGTTGTCATGCTGAGGAAAGTAGCACCAGTTTTCCTAGTGCGGATGGGGTAGTTTCTAACAAAAGCGCTGGTGGATTGTATAACTGTTTTCAAGGAGCGGCGAATCAAGTAAATTATGTTGAGCAGACAGATGTCCTACCCTTTTCCGGCTGCAGAGCGTTTTCGAATCCGTCAATTTCCATGGAACGGACTGGGTACCAATCCAATCCTATGCTGCCCCCCAACGAAACCCACATACCCAATCATTCTGTTTCACCCAAGAAAATGCGAACTCTATCTGGTGCTACTTTCGCTTCGACACAAGGCAACAATTCACCCTCTAGGTTGGGTTCTATTACTTCACCCGGCCCTCATGGGTCTAACGTAAATACGGGCTCTCGTGAATCGACAACCCCCAGAAGTATCGTTAGACGCAAACGAAGGGGACCCCTTTTTGATGAACAAGGTATACAACCCAAACGACCAGCTCACCGCACTAAACGAATAGATGAAATGTTCAAGGTAACTAATACAGCTGTAAATTTTTATTGACTTTCAAACATCGCAGTCATTTTTGCGTTTCGAAACGACATTCTGAAAGGGTTCTTATGTGTCACTGATGGTTTTATATTTTGTCGTGGGGCTTTCAATGCTCACTGGTGGTCTGGGCAATGCTAATTTTGTACCGAGGAGCGTCTATGCTCATTGCCCACAATTGGACCGTGACTCACGTTAAATGCATAAGGCTGTTTTAAACCATGATCTAGGACGATTTCAAGCTTAACTTATTGTATGTTGTATTATTCTAACTTCAGTGCCTTTTATTGTTGGACTAACACTTAGGGTTGCAAATATTTGTGACATTGAAGTTTTGCTAAACCAAAGGCTTTCCAAGACCCTTTCTCTGTAAATAGTAACGATTCAGAGAACTGTCAAGTTAATTACTTCCAACACAGTTGCCTCTCTCGTGACTCCGAAATTTAATCTGAATGTCTTAAGGGCTAGTGTTTGTGCAGGTCTACACACGAGTTATAAAGATTATACAAGGGTCTGTTGTACCACACTGCTGAGACATCTTTGATGTTTAGGTCTAATTCTGCATTCGAATCTTTTTCTACGCCGAGCAATTGTGTCAACTTGTGCCTCATTAGTTCGCTCATAGCAGGTACTTCC